ATATTACCACACTTTTTTCTCCAGTCCTCTTTTGGTGGGCAGCACGGTTGGTTCCATGTTTTTGCTTTTGTGAATAATGCTGCTTTTTTTTTTTTTTTTTGAGCTGAGTCTCACTTTGTTGCCCATGCTGGAGTATAGTGGCATGATCACGGCTTACCACAGCTTCGACCTCCTGGGCCTAGATGATCCCTCTCCCTCAGCCTCCCAAGTAGCTGAGAGTACAGGAGCATACCACCATTCCTGGCTGAGTTTTTTTACTTTTATAGAGACGAGGTCTCACTATTTTGCTCAGGCTAGTCTCAAATGCCTGGCCTCAAGCAATCCTCTTGCCTCAGCCTCCCAAAGTGCAGGGATTACAGGTGCGAGCCACTGTACCTGGATGACGTTGACTAAAAATGCTTTTAATCAGCTTTATTGAGGTGAAATATCCATGTAATAAAACGCAAGATATTTTAAAGATATGGTTCATAAGATTTGACAAACCTGATTAACCCCCACCCCAAACAAGATTTAGAACATTCCAACACTACAGCAAGTTCCCTCTTGTCTCTTTGCAAGACAGCCCCACCCTTCCTTGTAGGCAACCATTGGTCCAGTTTCTAGCACTGTAGATTACTTTTATCTGCTTTGAAATTTCATGAGATAGAATCATATAGTATATCCTTTTATATCTGATTTTCTCCCTCAGTTTGATATTTCTGGCATTTATCCTTGTTGCGCAGATCAGTGGTTCTTTTCTGTTGCCATATCGTATTCCATGATGTGTGACATGGCCAGTTTACTTCAGTCTCCTGTTGGGCACTTGGGGTTGTTCCCAGTTTGGGGTTCTTACGTCTAAAGCTGTTAGGAATATGTACAAATCTTTGTGTAAACACGTGTTTCCATCTTTCCTCAGCAAATAGCTAAGAGTGGAATTTCTTTTTTTTTTTTTTTTGAGTTGGAGTCTCACTCTGTCGCCCAGACTGGAGTGCAGTGGCTGCTCCCGGCCACCACAGCCTCAACCTGCTGGGCTCCGGTGATCCTTCCGCCTCCGGCTTCCAAGTAGCTGGAACTACAGGCGTGTGCTACCACGCCTGGCTAATTTTTGACTTATTGCAGAGATGAGGTCTTGTCAAGTTGCCCAGGCGGGTCTCGAACCCGCGGTCTCAGGCAATCCACTCACCTTAGTCTCCTAAAGGCGCGGGATTGCAGGAAGAGTGGAATTTCAAGGTCACATAATAGGTGTGTGCTTGACTGTGTAGGAAACTGCCAAACTATTTCCTAAAGCTTTTTATACCATCACATCTTCAGCATCACTTGGTATCAGATCTTTTTAGACTATTAGATCTTATGGGGGTGTGAGATGTTTCCTCATGGTTTTAATTTGCATTTCTCGGATGACTAATGATGTTAAGCGTATTTTCATGACCTTATGGCCATTCTTACTTGGTTAAATAGCTGTTCAATCATTTGCCCATTAACACAGTTTGGATTGTTTATTTGTTTGGGGGTTATAAGTTATAAGGTTTTTTTTTTTTTTTTTTTGAGTCGGAACCTCACTCTGTTGCCCAGGCTTGAGTGCAGTGGCATGCTCATGGTCACCGCAGCCTCAACCTGCTGGGCTCAGATGATCCCTCTGCCTCAGCCTCCCAAGTAGCTGGTACCACAGGCACGTGCCACCATGCCTGGCTAATTTTTTGATTTATTGTAGAGACGAGGTCTTGCCAAGTTGCCCAGGCTGGTCTCGAACCCCCAGGCTCAGGTAATCCTCTCGCCTAGGCCTTCCAAAGTGCTGGGATTGTAGGCTTGAGCCACTGTGCTTGGCCAATAACTTCTTTATACAAGTTTACTTTGGATGTGTCCTTTGTTGTCAGGCATGCATATTGTGAATATTTTCTCCCAGTCCATGGCTTGCCTTTTCTTTCTTTCTTTTCTTTTCTTCTTCTTTTTTTTTTTGAGTGAGAATCTTTTGCTTCTGCGTCCTAAAGTGCTGGGATTACAGGTGTGAGCCCGGCCTTCATTTTTCTTAACAGGATGTTTTGAAAAGAAAAAAATTTTAATTTTGTCAAAGTTCAGCTTATTGATGTTTCCTTTGACAATTAATGCCTTTTGTGCCCTTTACCTACTCCACAGGTTGCAAAGATTTTTAAATATTTTTCTCTAGTAGTTTTAGAGTTTCACTATAAAGAAAAAGAAGTCTGACTGATTTCTAATTAAGTTATATATATAACAATTTATATATATAATTTATATATATAATTTATATATATTATATGATATATATATATGAAGTAGGGGGTTAAAGTTCATTTTTTCCCATATGGTTAATGTTATTCCAGTACATCTTTTGAAAATCAGTTGGCCATCTGTGTGTGGGTCTAACTCTGGACTCTTTGTTCTGTGGCACTGAGCTGTATGTCTGTGTTTGAGCCAGTGCCACACTGTGGATTATTGTAGCTTTATAGAAAGTCTTGACATCAGGTGGTGCTAAGTCTCTGAACTTTGTTTTGTCATAATTTTTTCAACTGTTCTAGTCTTTCTGTTTCCATGTACATTTTAGAATCAGCTTGACAATTTCTGTGAAATAAACTGTCAGAATTTTGATTGAGATTTCCTTAAATCTGTAGATCAATTTGGAGAGAATGAACATCTTAACAATATTGAGTCAGCTAACCCATGAACATAGTATATCTCACAATGTTTTTAGATCTCATTTGATTTTGTGGATAGGAAGACACAGTTCTCATCATCAGTTTGTTTTTAGAAACAAGATCTGGCCACATTGCCCAGGCCAGATCTTGAACTCTTGGGCTCAAGCGATCCTCCCACCTCAGCCTTCTGAATAGCTGGGACTACAGGTGTGCACCACCATACATTTGCCATCATCCTTTTTAATGGCTGTTTAGTACAACTCTGTGTTGCTGTGTCATCAGTTACCCAATTGCCTGTTGTTCACTTAGATTACATCCAGTTTCCCCCTGTGCTACAGGGGATATCTTTGTTCTGTCTTTGCACACACCCTTGATTATTAGAATAAATCTGGAACCAAGTTAACCCCCTTGACTTTTCTTTGCTATTTGCCTTATTTAGGCTATTGGTGATGTGTGTGCAGTTGATTGTGGAATGCTAATGCTCTGGGCTTGCTTTCAGGAGGCCCAACAGCGTGGTGACTTAGAACGGGCAGACTATGGCAGCTGGCTAGGGCTGTTTCGTATGGCTTTTGAATTAAGAATTTTAAAAAATACTTTAAAATATACTTTTAAAGGATTGAGGGGATAAAAAGACTCTGTTGATGTGGCCTGTAACGCCTAAAATATTTGCCATCTGGGCCTTTGAAAGAATTTGCAAGCTGGGCTCGGTGGCTCAGCCTGTAATCCCGCGCCTTTGGGAGGCTGAGGTGAGTGGATTGCTTGAGCCCACGGGTTCGAGACCCGCCTGGGCAGCGAGACCTCATCTCTACAATAAATAAAAAAATCAGCCGGGCGTGGTGGCGCATGCCTGTAATTCCAGCTACTGGGAAAGTTGAGGTGGAAGGATCGCTGGAGCCCAGTGGGTCGAGGCTGCGGTGGCCGGGAGCGGCCACTGCACTCCAGTCTAGGTGACAGAGTGAGACTCCAACTCAAAAAAAATAATTTGCAAACTCCTGATTTAGGAGCAAGGCTCTGCCCCGGACAGATCTGATCAGAGCCCCGCCTACTAAACACTAGGTAGTGGTTGATCTTGGCCAAGTTCCTGAGTTACTTAAGTTCCAATTCTGTTTCCTCATCTGTAAAATGGGGGTAGTGAGAGTACATTGAGGGGTGTTAGCCACACAGGGCTTTGTTTTCTCTGAAGTTGCAGGACCGATTGCACTTGTGAGTCAAGAGCCTGTCACTGTCATCCTGGTCTTGGGCATCAGGGTCATAGCCTGGCTCCACCCTCCTCAGCCATCCAGCTAGAGAGATGGGGCACATACCACAGACGCTAGCAAAACCCACACACTGCAGCTTAAAATAATATAGGACTAGCTCCAACACAGGGTACTTGGCTTCAGCAGAAATCATGAAAAAGGCTAAAAACCTGGCTTCAAGTGAGGCTTGGAATTTGGAATGTTGAACCCCGTCATTGTCATGTGACTACCTTTGATGTTAGCTTCAGACTGCCTCTCCTTTATTGAACTACCCACATCTGGGAGAATGTGGCCCCCAAGGAGGTGGAGGTAGGGGTGACGTGCGGATGAACCTGGTTGTGCCTGTAGCCTTGAGTTGCTGATGGTGTGGGGGCAGGGGTTCTGAGCAGCACAGGGTCCTTGAGAGGATCGAGGGATGATCTGAGGGGCCCAGGGGCATGTGTGAAAGGGGCTGGGCCTTCCTGTCTAGAGGGCTGGTGAGCCATGGCAGCCAGAGGGGACAGTAGAAGGGGAGGTCCCCATTTGCAGACCCTTGAGCGTTTCCTGTCCGGGCAGGAATCACCAAGGTGATGCCCCAGCAGTGACTAGTGGGGGGCCAGCACCCTCTAGGAGGGGCTCATTGTGTTGGCCTGCTCTGCCTAAGCCTTCATTCACTGTCCTGGGAGTAATGTGTTTCTGTTGTCCCTGTAGATGCACTGGGAGCATGTCTCAGGTAGACATCCCAAATATCCAAACATTTATTTGTTTCTCCTAGGAGGAATTCTGGGTTATTTTTAGCCACTAGTTGATGCTAAGAGTAGTTTTTTTTTTTTCTTTTTTCTTTTTTGAGTCCAACTCTCACTCTGTCATATAGGCTGGAGTGCAGTGGCATGATCGCAACTCACTTAAGCCTCTACCTCCTGGACACAGGCAATCCTCCTGCCTCAGCCTCCGGAGTAGCTGGGACTATAGGTATGCACTACCACGCCTGACTCATTTAAAAAACTTTTTGTAGAAACAAAGTCTCTCTGTTGCCCAGGCTGGTCTCAAACTCCTGGGCTCAAGCAATCCTCCCACCTCAGCCTCCCAAAGTGCTGGGATTACAGGTGTGAACCGCCTCACCTGGCCAAAAGTGTTTTTAAAATAATGAAATGATGTGAAATGTGCTGGTTCATTTCCCAGGTTTCCTGCCAGAGGCCTACACTCATCCAGATCACTGCATCCCGTCCCTGTCCGCTGTCCACGGAGAATGCGAATGCTGGTCACTTCCTGTGGGCGTTGCTTTGCCCAGAGGTGAGCCCCGGCCTCACCTTTCAGGTGGAGCCTTCAACACTGACTGAGGAGGAAATGTGGATTTTTCTCTCTAGGTGAAATAATGGAATTGTACTTATGGGATTGTTTTCAAGTCCTTATCTCTTAGGAAAACATATACTGATGGAATGTTGCTCCATATGTGGCCGGGCTTTGCTACAAAAGCAAGAGGAGGTAGGAGGTTGAGTTGAAGCAGGATCTGTCCAGTTGTGCTGATTCTAGCTACACAGAGTGCATTACCCAGTGCTGTCTACTTCTGCTTGCTCATGTTCTCTGTAAGCTAAGAAGAGCAAGTGAGCAGGGTCTTCATGGTCTGACCAACTTGGGTTTCAGCTCTAGCTCTGCCATTTCTTTCTTTCTCTCTCTCTTTCTTTCTCTCTCTCTCTCTCTCTCTTTCTTTCTTTCTTTCTTCTTTCCTTCCTTCCTTCCTTCCTTCCTTCCTTCCTTCCTTCCTTCCTTCCTTCCTTTTTATAAAGCAGTATTTACTGAGAGGACAGAAAAATTCCCACAGTGGAAAGAGACCTGAAGGAATTGCCCTCTGCCATTTCCATCTGTGGGACCTTAGACAAGAAGAGACCTCTGTTTCTTAGTCTGTGAAATGGGTCTAGCCATAGCTGTCTCAATGATTGCTGGGAGAATTTTAATGAAATAGTGTAGAAAGCACTTAGCCTGGAATCTAGCACTGATGACTCGTGTTCTGGCAGGAAGTCCAGCCAGGAGACCCTGGATGACCTTTTGGGGTGGGGAAGGGGGTTCCAGGAGGAGCCTGGGGATCTACCTCTCAGACCGGGTGGGTTCACAGTGCGGCTTCTGCCTCTGATTAAAGCACTCTTGGCTCCATTTCCATCTTTGGTTGGTTTGGACCTTACTTGGCAGAGTTTGGAGCTATAATCAGCAGTCAGGTTCCTGGATATGATCCTGCTAAAATGTTGGGTAGCTGAAGTGTTTATTTAGTTCTTTTTAAAATCTTCTTTTACAATAGTTATAAGTTCACAGGAAGTTACAAGAATGTACCAGGAGGTCCTATCTACCCATTACTCAGTTTTCCCTAATGGTAATAGTAACACCTATGTTGCCTAGGCTGGCCTCCAACTCCTGGGCTCAAATGATCCTCCCACCTCAGCTGGGACTACAGGCATGTGCCACCACACCTTGCTAATAACACATCTTTGATATGTCTGTAGTACAACTGGTAAAGTGACATTGGTACAATTCACAGAGCTTGTTCAGATTTTACCAGTCCTACAAACAGTTGTACGTGTGTGAGTTGTGCATGTGTTCAGCACTCTATTTTTTTTTTGAGCAGGAGTCTCACTCCGTTGCCCGGGCTGGATTGCAGTGGCACACTCACAGCCACCCCAGCGTCAACCTGCTGGCCCCGGCGATCCTTCTGCCTCTGCCTTCCAAGGAGCTGGAACTACAGGTGTACACTATCACGCCCAGCTAATTTTTAGTTTATTGTCTCGCCAAGTTGCCCGGGCTGGCCTCGAACCTCTGGGCTCAGGCCGTCCTCTCACCTCCACCTCCCAAAGTGCTGGGATTATAGGCTTGAACGACTGCACCCGGCCCAGCAATTTTTTTTTTTTAAATCACTTGAAGCCCATTGCCCAGTTACACACCCCTGTTGACAGTTTGCTTACACATTTCCAGATCGCTTTCTAGGTTGTTCTCCTGCCCTTCTCTCTGGCTTCCTCCTTGCTCTCAGAGGACTGTCTCTGGAGGCAGTGCCGCATAGCCTGCTTCCCTGGTGGTCCAGTGTCCAAGGGTTCTGTAGGTGGGGCTCTCCCAGAAAGTGACATAAGTGACCTGCCAGGCACTTGGTCTCCCAGAGGCACTTGAGCAGACCGGAGTCAGCACCTGCTCCTTGCCTTCCCATACAGCCCCCTCCTCTTCCTGACCCTTTGGACGGAGTGGACTCCCAGACTTGGATGTGACTGCCTTCTAAAAAAAGCACTAGGCTAGGTACAGTGGCTCATGCCTGTAATTCCAGCGCTTTGAGGATTGCTTGAGCCCAGGAGGTTGAGGCCAGCCTGGGCAACACAGTAAGACCTCACCTCTACCAAAAGACAATTAGCGAGGTGTAGCAGTGCACGCTTATAGTCCCAGCTACTCTGGAGGCTGAGGTGGGAGGATTGCTTGAGCACAGGAGGTTGAGGCTGCAGCGAGCCAAGATCATGCTGCTGTGCTTCAGCCTGGGCAACAGAGTAAGACTCAAAAATAAAATTAAAAAAAGCCAGTTTGGGATTCTCTGGCATGCAACTCCTGAATGCAGGCAGGACTCCTGCAACATCCCTGCCAACAATTCTGACCATGGATTTGACACTTTCCAGGTGCTGCCCCGTGTCAGGCCCAGTGCCAGGCAGTTGACATATGTGTTAGCAATCATACATCATCTCCTTGAATCCTTGGGGCAACCCACTGGGACAGCTGTTATCTTCTCAGACAAGGAGAGCGAGGTTCAGAGAGGTGAAGCAGCTTCCCTGGGTCACCAGCTGGTTTGTGGCAGACCAGGACTCAAGGCCAAAGTCATACAGCTAACCCCTATCCTCCCCACCTCCCACCTGCACGACTGCCTTTAACCCTGACTTGCTTGTGTCCTCTTGTAGGTGAGCCCAGGCCAGAATGGGGGACTCCAGGGACCTTTGCCCTCACCTGGACTCCATAGGGGAGGTGACCAAGGAGGATTTGCTGCTCAAATCTAAGGTAAAGGGTCAGATCGTACAAGGGGCGACCCACACCCAAGGCTGCCTTCCTGAGTCTCTGATGCAGTGGAAGAACTGGCTTCTGCCCGTCTCTGCTCAGCCTTCTGTGTAAATGAAAGTGCTGGCATCTGTTTGGGAGGCTTCCTTCCGGGGACTGGTCCTCACAACTGTTAATTATAGCTTAGACCAGCCCATTTGGGAGCCACTAATGCTCTCTGCCCATTAGCTGTTGTAGTGGGCGTGTAGGGCCTCTCCCAGGAAGGGAAGGGATGCTGCTATCAGGGCCAGGGCGTTTTTACAAACAGATCCTGAGGGGGGCTCAGGGAGGCCTGAATGGGAGGCCTGGCCTCTTCTCTGAGTAGGAAGATGCATTGTCATCCTTTCTTTGTTGCAGAATTAAGATATTTTGAAATGGTAATGCTTCCATATGGTTCAAAAATGAACTAATAGGAAAAGATAAATACCAAGAAGCCCCCTCCCACCCCTGTACTCCCCTCTGCATCCCCCCTTAGGTGACCTCTTATGCTAGTTTCTTTTGTATCATTTCAGAGTTTCTCTATGCAAATGCAAGCACACAAGCTCATTTTGTATTTTGCCCTTTCCCATACAAAAGATGGTGTACCGTCACAGCTGTTTCATAACGTCCTTTATCCGTAACGATTTGTCGTGGATCCCTTTCAACATTAGTACACAGAGACAGCTTTCTCATCCTTTGTCTTGATGTTGCATCATATTTCAGCACATGGACATTACAACTGAACCTATTGGGTAGACATCTGGACTCTGCAGCCTCTTGCCAATACGAACAATGCTGCAATGCGTGGCCTTTTAGAGGTGTCATTGTGTCCACGGGCAGAGCCCATTCCCAGCAGTGGGCTAATTGGGTCATGTTCCTAGACATGTCATCAGGTCTTCCTTTCAGGAACGTCATGCAAGTCGCTTGGTCTTACTGCACCGGCAGGTCCTGGGTGGCCTGTGGCCTGAGCTGTTTTAGTCACCATCCAGCTGTGGGAACGGTTCTTCAGTGTCCGCAGCTGCTTTCGAAGTGATTTTGTGTCTTGTGTGGCGTGAAGCAGGGGCAGAGGGAGGCTCGGTGCATTTGCACTGTCTGGCTCTGGGTTTCTTTCCTGTCTAGGGAAAGTGAGAGCAGGGAGGAGACGAGCCAGGTGGGAGGCAGGAGGAGGAACACAGGAAGGCTGGGATGGGACTGGCAGCCTTTTGGAAGCCTGTTGGTGCCTCCAGAGCAGAGAGGCTGGCCTGTCTGGGCCACTCTGGGCCTGCAAGTCAGAGAGCTCATCTTCAGCCCCTCTCTGGGTGTCCAGAAAGTTATCAAATAAAACCAGCACTGCTTTAAAATACTCAGAAGGGATGAGGATGTGAGCAGGTAGCTCACAGTGAAGGAAATGCAAATGGCCAAGAGACCTTTTGGAAAGGATGCTTAACTTCACTAGTGGTCAAGGATATTGTAATGAAAACCGGATGAATCCTTTTTTTCTTTTTGAGTTGGAGTCTCACTCAGTTGCTCAGGCTGGAATGCAGTGGCATGCCTAATCCTCCTGGGCTCAGGCAATCCTTCCACCTCAGCATCTCGAGTAGCTGGGAGTACTGGCACACACTACCCCGCCCAACTAATATTTTGTATTTTTTGCCCAGGCTGGTCTCAACCTCCCGGACTCAAGCAGTCCGCCTCCCAAAGTGCTGGGGTTGCAGGCATGATCCATCATGCTCAGCCAATACCATTTTTTAGACGGGCAAAAACAGAGACTGATCACATTCACAGCTGACAGTTATGGAGAAAAATGAGCCACTTACGTTGTGGTGGGGTGGGAATTACTGTAAGCAACCTCTAGGGAAGCAGTTTTGCTTTTGGGAATTTATCCAGCAGGAATGTAAGCGCCAGTGATGAAGATACAGACACAGCAGCCCTTACTGAACATTGCTTGTACGAGGAAAGAGCTGGTGGCAACCCGAATATCCATCAAGAAGGGATGGGTGGATAGATTGCGGGTGTCCATGTGTGCAGTTGTGGCAACAAATGAGACGTGGTCTCTGTGTACGGACTTTAAAGGGTGACCATGAGTAGGTGACAAAAGCATGTGACAGAGAAGTATGTCTTATATGATCTTAGTTTTGCTAAAAATCACCTCTGCAAGATCATGCATATGTTTGTAGAAGAAGGCACATTCCCACTCACAAGTGACCCTGAACATTTATCACAATACTTTGAGAGCGAGATCGGAAGTAGCGGGACACTGCTGCTGTTGGGGGAGAGGGGCGTACAACGTCACTAAGGGTTCCTGATCCTAAACCTGGGGAACTGAGGGCCAGGGGAGGCCCAGACTTCACCTGCATGTACCTAATCCCAACTTGTACTCCACATCTTTAAAATAAAAAAAACAAGTAAAAAAAAATAGATTGTACAGAGGAATATGCTCAAACTATTATAGCCACATATGTATTATATATTATATACATGCTTTAAGTCATGTACAGCATATATGTAGAGTGAGCCCTCACCTCTACAAACAATCAAAAAATTAACTGGGTGTGCTGGCGCTTGCTTGTAGTCCCAGCTATTCGGGAGGCTGAGAAAGGGGATCACCTGGGCTCAAAAAGTCGAGGCTTTGGTAAGTTGTGATCACGCCACTGCACTCCAGCCTGACTGACAGGGTGAGACTCTGACTCAAAAAAAAAAAAATCACCAGCGAGATTACGAGAGAGCCTCGGAAAGCAAGGGCTGCTGTTCTGAGCCTGCTAGGCAGACTGGTCTCTCGCCGCCCCGCATATCCTCTGCGAGGCCCTCAGTCACAGCCTGCAGACCTCAGCTCTGTCATCCAGGATGAGCTGCTTCCCCTCGACCCTTTTGGGGGTTCTTTGTTCAGGCTCTTTTCAAACCCACCTCTACAAGCTCACCCCGATTCCACGCCAGGATCTGGGTTTAATGACAGTAGTCCCATACAGACCAGGAGACTGACACAGCCACCCTCGGGGCAACCAGGCTTCCCTGCTTTGGTGGCCTTGCAACACTGGGGCCCCGGCTTCTCAGTGTCACCTCGGGCCTAGCCCTGGAGCGGGGGCATGTCCTTGCTGAGTCCCGGTTTCCCAGCTGTAGAAAGAGGATCTGAGGCCTACTGCGCATACCGTGAGGGGATCGCTGGAGCAGGGTGTAAAGAGCTTGACTGGAGATGGGCTCGGGGTCATCCCTCAGCAGGTGTTGCTGTCACTGTGCTGGCGCCCGGTGTTGGACTGCTGCTGTTGACCATCTCTGGGAACTCAGTTCACAGCTGGTGGGAGCACGGCAGATGTTATCAAAACTCAGCTGGGAACTGCTGTTCTGGGCACCCATAGACAGAATCACTTGGGGCACAGGTTAAGTTACTGTAAAAAAGAGACCCTGTCATACGGGGGCTAACTGAGACAGAAGCTTAGTTTTCTCTCATAGCACAGGCTGGAGGTAGGTAGGGCAGTTTGGGCGGCTCTGCCATTCTCTGCTCGTGGGCTTCCTCTTTGAGTCCAAGACGGTGGCTTCAGGTCCTGCCATCACATCTGCATTCCAGCCAGTGGTAAGAGGGGAAAGAGCAAATGTGTCACTCAGCTCAGAAGTGACACGCATCACTTCACCATCATCTCACCGACTAGAACTGAGCCACATCATCACTGTGGAGCCTGGGAACATAGTCCGTAGCTGGTCAGCTATGTGTTCAGCTAAAATTCAGGCCGGATGCAGTGGCTCACGCCTATAATCCCAGCACTTTGGGAGGCCAAGGCAAGAGGATTGCCTGAGTCCATGGGTTCAAGACCAGCCTGGGCAACTTAGTGAGACCTCATCTCTACAATCGATCAAAAAGTTAGCTGGGTGTGATGGCGCATGCCTGTAATTCCCGCTACTTGTAGACTGAGGCAGAAGAATAACCGGAGCCTAGCAGATCAAGGCTGCGGTGACTGTGAGCATGCTACTGCACTCCAGCCTGGGTGGCAGAGTGAAACTCTGACTCAAAAAAATTCATGCATTCTATTATTTTATTTATTTATTTAAAATAATAGAGATGAGGTCTCACTATGTTGCCAAGGCTTATCTTGAACTCCTAGGCTCAAGCGATCCTCCTGCCTTGGCCTCCCAAAGTGCTGGGATTATAGACATGAACCACAGTGCCCAGCCTCATTCTATTATTAAGATAAGAAGAGAAGACGGGATGTTCATAGACCAGGAACAGGCTCTGTCACCCAGACCACCAGAAACCCGGATGTTTTCTGTGTTTGACAGATATATTGACCTTCTAATTTGTACCAGGCCCTATGATTTCACAGGAGTAGATGGACAGACCAACCTTCTTCTGTGGAGCCCACAGTCTACTTGGGGAGAAAGGCTCAAATAAATAAGTACAATGAAGGATGAGGAGGGGAGATGGGGGAGTATATTAAGGAAAATGTTTACTTATTTATGCTTTAAATGATTGTATTTGAAAAAATAATTTTTCGGTATTAAAGAGACAAGGTCTCACTATGTTGTCCAGGCTTGTCTCGAACTTCTGGGTTCAAGTGATCCTCCTGCCTCAGTCTCAGTTGGGATTACAGACGTGTGCCACCGTGCTCAGCCTGGAAATGTTTTGCAGGCACATGATACAAAAATTCAAACAGTAAAGTGTAAAGTCCCCCTTGGGGAGCCTAATGAGATGGGTGGTGGGTACAGGTGCGAAAACCTATCCTGGGTGAGGCCTTGCTGCTGAGCCGTTTAGGTTGAGTCAGTGTCAGCCAGGTGGCTGGAGCAGCCCCCACACTCAGCTCCCGCAGGTTGCTCACACTTGCTTTTTCTCTGCCCTTGACTCCCTCAGGGAACCTGTCAGTCGTGTGGCGTCACTGGACCAAACCTGTGGGCCTGTCTCCAGGTAAAAGATCCTTGTGGTCTTTGAGGATGAGGAACTCTCGGCCCTGGGCTGGGCACGTGCGTCCCTGTTGGGCCCTGCTGGACTTGGGCGGGGACACAGGGCTCCAGAGTCAGCCAGTCCCTGGGCTGGTCACTCTAAGAGCCTCTAAAAGTGCAGAAGGAGAAAGCAGACTGGAGAAGACCCTGGGGTGAATGATCTTGTCTTCACAAGATTCGAAACCCTGTCCTGGCGTGCGTGCGTGAGAAGCGATGTGGGAGTCTTGGCCATGAGGCCTGGAGCTGCTTCGTGCAGCCTCTCTCCCTGGGCCCATCTGGCCTCCTTCCTGGGCCGGGTCTTCATTTCCTTCGTCGGTAAGGCAGAGGCTGTAACGCTGCCAACTTGCCCCGCCTTGCGGGTCAGGGCAGAACTTGGCAGATGCTGGGCTGAACTTAGCACGGTACGTGGCTTGGAGATGGTGCCCAGGAGAGGCTGGAAGTGTCTGATGATTTCTGCTTATGAAAAAGAGTAAGAAGCTGGCTGTGGTGGCTCACACCTGTAATCCCAGCACTTTGGAAGGCTGAGGCGAGCAGATTGCCTGACCTCAGGGGTTTGAGACCAGCCTGGGCAACTTGGCAAGACCTCGTCTCTACAATAAATAAAAAAATTAGTGGGGCATGGTGACGCATGCCTGTAGTTTCAGCTACTTGGAAGGCTGAGGCAGAAGGATTGCCTGAGCTCAGCAGGTTAAGTCTGCGGTGGCCATGAGTGTGCCACTGCACTCTAGCATGGGCCACAGAGTGAGACTCAGACTCAAAAAGAAAAAAGAGTAAGAGTAGATGTATCTAAACAGGACAGTTTTCTCTGGGTGGTAGAATTAGTGATAATTTTCATTTTTTGTTTTTATTTTTTGGGGTTTGTTTTTTTTTTTGAGGCAGGGTCTTTGTTCCCCAGGTCGGAATTAGTGGTATGATCACGGCTCACAGCAGCTTGGCCTCGTGCGCTCAGGTGATCCTTCTGCTTCAGCCTCTCAAGTAGCTGGGACTACAGGTACTCACCACCACACCTGGCTAATTTTTAAAAAAATTTTTGTTAAGGTAAGATCTCACTATTTTTCCCAGGCTAATCTCAAACTCCTGGGCTCAAGCGATCTTCCTGCCTTGGCCTCTTAGAGTACTGGGATTATAGGTGTGAGCCATTGCACCCAGCCCATTTTTTTTTCTTTGTGGTATTTTAAAATGTTTCTACAAAAGTGTATTTTTTTTTTTTTTTTGAGTGGAAGTCTCACTCTGTCACCCAGACTGGAGTGCAGTGGCCGCTTCCGGCCACCGCAGCCTCGACCTGCTGGGCTCTGGCGATCCTTCCGCCTCAGCCTTCCAAGTAGCCGGAATTACAGGCATGCGCTACCACGCCCGGCTGATTTTTTGATTTATTGTAGAGATGAGGTCTCGCTGCCCAGGCGGGTCTCGAACCCGCGGGCTCAGGCAATCCACTCACCTCAGCCTCCCAAAGGCGCGGGATTACAGGCTGAGCCACCGAGCCCGGCCAAAAGTGTATTTTTATAGTCAGGCTAAAAATGACTGGTACTTGAAATTTCTTTTTTAAGGCTGGGCTTGGTGGCTCACACCTATAATCCCAGCACTTTGGGAGGCCAAGGTAGGAGGATTGCCCATGGGTTTGAGACCAGCCTGGGCAACTTGGTGAGACCTCATCTCTACAATAAATACAAAAATTAACAGAGAGTGGTAGTGTGTGTCTATAATTCCAGCTACTTGGAAGGCTGAGGCGGAAGGATTGCCTGAGCCCAGTAGGTCAAGGCTCCAGTGACCATGAGTGTACCACTGCACTCCAGCATGGGCAACAGAGTAAGACTTCAACTCAAAAAATAAAATTAGGCTGGGCTTCGTGCCTCAACCTGTAATCCCACGCCTTGGGAGCCCGAGGTGAGTGGATTGCCTGAGCCTGCAGGTTTGAGACCCGCCTGGGCAACTTGGTGAGACCTCATCTCTACAATAAATCAAAAAATTAGCTGGGCGTGGTAGTACGCACCTGTAATTCCGGGTACTTGGAAGGCTGAGGCGGAAGGATCGCCGGAGCCCAACAGGTCAAGGCTGCGGTGGCCGGGAGCGGCTACTGCACTCCAGTCTGGGTGATAGAATGAGACTCCAACTCAAAAGAAAATTAAATAAATTAATTAATTAATTTAATTTAATTTGAAAAAAAACTTCTTTTTAAAAAAATCCCACAGTAGAAACAAAAATGATAGCACTAGGAGGTGAAGACATCCATTCAGTCTTTGCAGAAGACACAGAGGTCCCAATGGGACTCTGGCCTCTTCTGTTTGGGCCTGTCACTCAATGTAATATAGATGGCAAGACACTGTCTGGGTACCTGGGGGACAGCAAGAAGTGGCCTCTTAAAAAAAGTGGCATTTCATAGGCACTCACAGTCCTTTCAGAGAGACAGATGTGGTAACCTGTGCAGACAGTGGCCCATACTTTTTGATTCAGCCTCATCATAAGGGTCAAATGTCTCTGTCATTTTCTTTCCCTTTTTTTAAAATTCTGAGACAGGGTCTCACTCTGTCGCCCAGACTGGAGTGCAGTGATGTGATCACAGTTCACTGCAACCTCTGCCTTGGGCTCAAGCGGTCTTCCTGCCTCATCCTCCCCAGTGACTGGGACTACAGTGCATACCACCACACCCAGCTAATTTGTATAGTTTTTTGCAGAGGTGGGGTCTCACTGTGTTGCTCAGGCTATTCTGGAAATCCCGTCAGCCGTTTCCTCACAGGGTCCTCACTGGCTTGTGCAGTGCTTAGTCATTGCAGGTGGAAGTGACACCAGGTGTATCCGTGGAGGAGCAGGCCTGATCACTACTGGCTGCTGGGGTGGAAGCCTGCAGTAGAGAGGCACTGGAGCTAGGCCATGAAGGATGGGTGGATCTGGGAGAGGAGGGTGCAAGGCCAAAAGCAGGGTCCTGGGGGACACACAGGCCCCCCATGGGGCATAGGGGCACCTCTTAGAGCCCCTTGTCTTGAGCCCCTGGTGCCGTTCAGTGTCTCCTGCTGGGAAATGGCTGTGAGGGTCAGAATCCCCCACCAAAAAAATTATGGATCCCAATAACAGGACTTTGAGGAAGCAGACCTTTGGGTGCAGGGAGAGCATCTGGGCTCCAAGCAGCCAGGCCCCAGCTGTGACCGTGGCTGGGCTTCCTGTAGGAGGACAGTAGCCCAGGGTACACAGCCCATCTCAGAGGGCGGGGGCAGGGTTTAGGCGGCCATCCTTGCCCAACGTGAACTCCAAGTGCACAGACCCGTGTTCCTCAGGGGCGGCAGAGCCTCAATTCCTTGTGGGTCCTTATGGTAGAGACGGGGACGCTGACATCAGGTGCAGGCAGAGACGCTGTGTGGACGTCGTGCTCTCACCCAGCCCAGCTCAGCCCATCCTCCTTCCCTCTCTCCCAGGTCGCCTGCCCCTATGTTGGCTGCGGAGAATCCTATGCCGATCACAGCACCATTCACGCACAGGTGAGTGGGGTGACAGTAGCATGGGCTCTGCTGCCAGGTGGCCTGGGGATCAGCCCTCAGCTCAGCACCTCAGTAAGTAAGTTACCTTAGCTAGTAAGCGCCATCTGCCTGCTCTGACCTCAGAGGCTGGGGCAATAAAATGGGGTAACAATAGCAGGGACAGGAGAGGGTGCAGGTGAAAGCACTTTGTACCTGCACCATTGGATGAGTGGCCACTCTTGGGTCCCAGACTGAAGGGTTCTGGGATGAAGCGTGAGCACAGCCGGGCTTCCAGCCTCTGCCCTTGGGGCCTCCCACTGAGGCTGGAAGGAACAGTCCACTGCAGGCTGGGTGTGTGTGAGGCCTGGACCTCACATTGGATCCTACCCTCTAGGCAAAGAAGCACAACTTGACGGTGAACCTGACCACGTTTCGGCTGTGGTGTTACGCCTGTGAGAAGGAGGTGTTCTTGGAGCAGCGGCTGGCGGCATCCGCGCGGGGCTCCTCTTCTAAGTTCTCGGAGCAGGTAATGGGTTCAGCAGGCTACGCGCGGTCATCAGTGACACTGTTGAGGATGAGGGGGTGGGACCCGAGTGTCTGGAATGTGGGGCAGTAGGCCTCAGACATAGTTTGTTCCTGGGTGCCTGTGTCTTTAGGTGATGTCGAGGAGCCTGTGTCCACACGTGCTCACTCCAGGCTTGTGAGGTGGTGAGGGTGCGGAGGGAACTAAGAGTGGGGCCTCCCTCAAGCAGCTCGCGGGCCATGGGCGACTGTGTGGAAGTGTAGGGTGGGGGCCCAAGGCTGCGGGACCAGTGTAGACCCTTCCAGACATTTTATTTGTTTTTGTTTGTTTACTGAGTCAAGGATCTCACTCTGTTGCACAGGTTGGAGTGCAGTGTCATGATCACGGCTCACCCTAGCCTCGACCTCCTGGGCTCAGGCAATCCTCCTGCCTCAGCCTCCCAAGTAGCTGAGACTTATAGGCACATGCCACCACCCCCAGCTAATTTTTGTATTTTTTGGTAGAGACGAGATCTCGCTATGTTGCCCAGGCTGGTCTCGAACTTCTGGGCTCAAAGGATCCTTCTGCCTCGGCCTCCCAAAGTGCTGGGCCGCCATGCCCCACCTCTTCCAGGGCTTACAGAGAGGACTGACAAGGTCACAGACAGCAACCGCTATGGAAGATAGTGTGGCAATATCTAAAGGAACTAGAAATTGACCTTCCATACCATCCACCAATCCCCTCCTGGGAATTTACCCAGAGGAACATAGACACCTGCACACGCATGTTTATTGCCACACCATTCATAATAGCAAAACCCTGGAACCAACCTCACTGCCCATTAAAAGCAGACTGGATAAATGCAGTACATATACATGATGGAATACTATGCAGCCATAAAAAGGGACAAAATCATGGACTCCTCAGCAAATCGGATGGAACTGGAGACAGTCATTCTTAGCAACCTGTCACAGAAACAAAGAACTGAATACCACATGTTCTCACTCATAAGTGGGACGGGAACATGAGCTACAATATCCCAAGGGATGGACTGGCAGTAGTGAGACAATGCTGGGGTAGGAGGGGAGGGGGCGCATAACCACACAAAGGGTCCCTGTTCCTAAACCAGAGTAAGTGAGGGCCAGTGGGAGGCTCAAACTTCACCTGTGCATACATGACCTGTGTACCTGCTCTGACTTGTACCCCACACCTTTATAATAAAAAAGTACAAAAATAAAGCTAGGCTCAGTGGCTCAGCCTGTCATTCCAGCACTTTGGGAGGCTGAGGCGAGTGGATTGCCTGAGTCCACAGGTTTGGGGCCAGCTCGGGCAACTTGGTGAGACCTCATCTCTACAATAGATAAAAAATTAGCTGGGCAGGGTAGTGCACACCTGTAGTTCTGGCTACTTGGAAGGCTGAGGCAGAAGGATTGCCGGAGCCCAGCAGGTTGACGCTGGGGTGGCGGTGAGTGTGCCACTGCACTTCAGCCTGGGCAACTGAGTGAAACTCCAACTCAAAAAAAAAGTACATAATAATAAAAAATAAAATGGTTCCTTGGGGAATTCTGAGTAGTCGCTTGGAAACCACCTAGGAATGTCAGCCAGAGAACAGGGCCCCTGAGCAGCGGGTTGAGGGGAGCTGGGCAGCCTTGGGGGTGGTGGACCAGCAAGCCCAGGCTCTGGAGGGCCTGGCCCCGGGCCTGTCCCTGGGTGACGGTTAGAAAGCTCAGCTGTCAGGAAGGCTGCCAGAGGTGCCAAGGGAGAAACCAGGCGGCCAGGACACGTGTGTGCATGTGCATTGCTGCATCTCCTCTGTTCATATCACATGATAGGTGTTCCATAGATGTTTATTAATGCTTTTATGAACTTGGTAGGTATTTATGAATCTTTATTTTGAAAAAAACTATAAAATGGCTGAGCATGGTGGCTCACGCCTCTAATCCTAGCACTTTTACGAGGCCAAGGCAGGAGGATCACTTGAGACCAGGAGTCCGAGACCACCTGGGCAACATGATGAGACCTTGTCTCTATAAAAATTCAAAAAAATTAGCCAGGCATGGTGGCTTGTGCCTGTAATCCCAGCTACTTGGAAGGGTGAAGCAGAAGGATTACCTGAGCCCAGGAGGTCGAGACTGCAATGAACTGTGATGATGCCACTGCACTCCAGTCTGGGTGACAAAGTGAGACCCCAAACCCCTCCAAAAAAACTACAAAACAATATATGCAATATCCTATTTTTGTTGTGGGTGTGTGTTGACAGTTAAGAGTCTACATAATGGACATATGGGCTATTAACAGTGATTCTCTCAGCAAAATGGGATTGCATGCTGTCTCTGTTTCAATTTTCCCCCCAAATGTGTTATAAATGGCATATTCTTTTTTATTGCAAATAGGAGATATGTGGCAGGGAGTCCCCAAGGCAAGGCCACCAATTCTGTTCCTTTCCAGTGTCCTTGCCTGGCGCGGGTCTGCAGGGCTGGCCTTCCCACCCTTGGGAGCGCACAGGCCTCCTCCCCTCCCCCCCATTTTTCCTCACTCTGGGTCTCTGTCACAGGACTCTCCACCCCCCTGCCACCCTCTGAGAGCTGTTCCTATTGCTGTGGCTGACGAGGGAGAGTCTGAGTCCGAGGACGACGACCTGAAGCCTCGAGGTAACGGCCCTCAGGACGGGAAGCTGTGGGGCCAGGTTGGAGGCCGCCATTGGAGGTTAGAAGCACCAGGATCTGGTGTCTGTTTGCACCATGCTGCCATGGGAAAGGAAGGACGGGGTGACAGACAAGTGGTACTGCAAGCTGGCTTCCCTCAGAGAGCTGGCCAGCCCAGCTGAGGTCCTGGAGACCTGGCTGCCTTGTCCCCTCTCTCAGCCGTGTGACCGTGGGCAGGCTGGCCCTCTGCACCCAGCCCTGGTCTGTCCACTATGGACAGTGGGCCTGGCTTGATGGAGGAGCAGAGGGGGACATCTATTGGGTACACTCAGGTAACCACAGCTGTCATGAGCAGGTGCTGCAGTAGCTCACTTGGGAGATTTCAGGGTGGAACACCACCACTGTGCCCTCTGGCAGGGCCTGAGGTTGAGAGCCACAATGCTGCTCGAGTGTGACTTCTGAGGTCTCCTCACCAGGTCAGGATGCTCATTCCCCACCTCCATGGTGTTTGTTTCCCAGGCCTCACGGGTATGAAGAACCTTGGGAACTCTTGCTACATGAACGCAGCCCTGCAGGCCCTGTCCAATTGGTAGGTTACCAGCTAATTGGGGGACTGGGGCTGGGAGCTGTCCCTGGCAAAGCCATGGGCACAGTCACAGAACCCCAAGCCGTGTTGCACATGCTGCCCGCAGATGCATGTATAGGACACACGTCAGAGTCCCTAAAAATGTGCATGCCCTTTGACCCAGCAGTCCCTCCAGTAAGGATCAAGCTATGGGAGATGACCAGAGATGCCGAGGGTCATACATGCAGGGATGCTTATTGCTATATTTATGAGGGGGGACCCAAAGAAACCCTCAATATTTATAAAAATTGTGTATTACATGTTTAAACTTCAGTCACCTTTAAAGTACTCTCTGTTGGATGCAGTGCACCTATCGAGAGGCTTTTTCCACTGCTCAAAACTGTTTCTGAACTCATCAATTTTGATGCCTTTTAGTGCTTCTGCCTTTTTTTGTTTCACCTCTTCCACATGTCATGCCTTTTTTTTTTTTTTTTTTTTTTAGTTAGAGTGTCATTCTGCTGCCCAGGCTGGAGTGCGGTGGCATGCTCACGGTCACCACAACTTAATCTGCTGGGTTCAGGCAACCCTTCCACCTCAGCCTTCCAAGTAGCTGGAACTACAGGCGTACACCACTATGTCCAGCTAATTTTTCTTTATTTATCGTAGACACAAGGTCTTGCCAAGTTGCCCTAGCTGGTGTCAGACCCCTGGGCTCAGGCAATCCTCTTGCCTCTGCCTCCCAAAGTTTTGGGATTATAGGTGTGAGCCACTGTGCCTGGCTTGTCATGCCCTATTTTTTCAAAAACTGGTGAACACTCAGCATGGTGGGGGCGGTATGTTTACAAATCACCCATCATGAAATGGGCAAACACATTGAGAGAATCTCCAAAAACAAAAAAATTAACTGAAGCTGAACGCAGCCTCTCACAAAACACTAGTTGGTACACTGATGCCAAAGGGTTTCTAGAACACTTACCTAGCAGGGAAGTCTGTACTACAAGGGGCCTGACCTCAAAAAGATAATTCAGTTTTTTGGGGGTCCTCCCTCATACTGGAAACAATACAAAGGTCTGTCTGCCAAAGAGCATACACTCACTGTTGTCTGGCCTAACAGGAGGACAGAGAGTGTGGCGCGGATGGTATGTATTGAAACAGAAAGGGGTTCAGATCTGGTGAGTGGGGAAAAAGGGAGATTGTAATGCTCTGTCGGGTACAGTCCCATCTCATGGGGAAATGTTTGTCCCATCATGGACAGGCTGTCAATTCCATGAGGCCGGGGATGTCTCCTATGCCCGACACAAGGTCTCCCACCCAGTGGGGATTCAGTATGTATATGGGAGAAAGGGAATGGATATAGAAAACTGTGGAAGGAGATGCCCTGGAATGTTTAGAATAGCTAACCTCAGGATGTTTGCTTAACAGATAGCTCGAACTACAGGCGTGAGACACTACAACCCGGCTAATTTTTTGATTATTGTAGAGATGTGGTCTCACCAAGTTGCCCAGGCTGGTCTTGAACCCCTGGGCTCAGACAATCATCTCACCTCGGCCTCCCAAAGTACTGGAATTACAGGCTTGAGCCACCACGTCCAGCCTAAGATAACTTCTAAAAACATAAGGGCCAAGCATGGTGGCTTAAGCCTGTAGTCCCAGCCACCTGAGAGGCTGAAGTGGGAGGATCGCTTAGGTCCAGGAGTTCAGGGCTACAGTGAGTTATGAATAGCCTGTGAATAGTCACTGTACTCTAGCCTGGGAAATGTTGTGAGATACTGTCTCTTAAAAAACAAGAAGAGGGCTGGGCATAGTGTAATTCCAGCACTTTGGGAGGCCGAGGCAAGAGGATCACTTGAACTCACTTGAGTTTGAGACCAGCCTGGGCAACATAGCAAAAACCCATCTGTACAAAATAAAAATTTTAAAAATTAGCCAGGCATGGTAGTGCACACCCATAGGCTCAGTTATTCGGGGGCTGGGCAAGAGGATCGCTTGAGCCCAGGAGTTTGAGCCCACAGTGAGCTATGATTGCACCACTGCACTCCATCCTGGGCCACAGAGTGAAACCCTGTCTCTAAAATAAAAAGAAGAAAAAGGGAAGTGCAGGATCCACCTTCACCTGGAAGGTTTCTGCAGAACAGGCTGAGGGGAGGAGCAGGAGCCTTGGGCCCTCCGGCATGAAGTCCACATCTAGCCTAGGAGAGGCGGGGGAGTGGATATATTTCCCAGGGCAGCCCACAGCAAAGTGTCACCAACTGGATGGCTTCAACCTGATGTGTGTGTTTTTCTCCCCACTCTGGAGGCTGGAAGTCCAGGATGAGGCTGTCAGTGGGGTGGGGTCCCCTGAGGTCTCCCTCCCTGGCCAGCAGACGGCCGCCTCCTTGCCATGTCCTCATGTGGTCTTGCCTGTGTGCTCCATGTATCTGCTGCTCCTCCTGTAGGTCCACATTTCCTCCTCCTGTAAGGACCCTAGTCAAGTTGGATCAGGGCCCACCCTAATGAGCCCATCTAAAGGCCCTGTCTCCAAACACAGCCACATTCTGAGGTTCTGGGGATTAGGGCTTCACATATGGATATGGGGGATACAACCCGGCCCACAGCACGTGGGTTCCTTCTTGTCACCTACAGGCATCTGCAGGCATTTCTGGGTCTGGGGACTACTGTGTATCCCCATGTGAGCACTCAGGGCATTTCTACACCCAGCTCTTTCTTTTTTATTTTTTGAGTTGGAGTCTCACTTTGTTGCCCAGGCTGGAGTGCAATGGCACGATCACAGCTCAACCTCCTGGGTTCAGGTGATCCTTCTGCCCCAACCTCCCAATTAGCTGGGATGACAGGCATGTGCCACCACACCCAGTTAATTTTTCTTATTTTTTTTATAGAGATGGGGTCGGTTGTGTTGCCCAGTCTGGTCTTGAGCTCCTGGACTCAAGCGATCCTCCCACCTTGGCCTCCCAAAGTGCTGTCCACTTTCTTCTAAACCACCCGAGCACCTCTTGCATCCTCCCCTGACCCAGCTCACTCTCCCCTTGCCCCAGCCCCCCGCTGACCCAGTTCTTCTTGGAGTGTGGAGGTCTGGTGCGCACTGACAAGAAGCCAGCCCTGTGCAAGAGTTACCAGAAGTTGGTCTCTGAGGTCTGGCACAAGAAACGGTGAGTGACTGCAACCCTAACCTCAGGCAGCTGTGGGGACCAGGGCTTCCTGTCAGCACGCCGACAGAGCACTTCCTGTGGATTCAGCCCTGAGCCAACTGAGGGCACCCAGGTGATGCTTGCAGCAGGCCTGTGGGGTATGGGTAGCATCTGCCCTGCTTAGAAGTGGGAACCTGAGTGCAGTGAGTGGTAGGCCTCTAGCTCAAGGTCACACAGCCTGTGAACGGTGAACCAGAACTTAACCTGTACCCCAGCCATAGCCACTGCATGGGTATTCTCATCCTCAGCCATGACTGTGTGTGTGGAAGGGGCCACGTCAGAGGGGCAGCGCAGACTGGGCCGGACCTTCCAGCACAGTGTGAGATGGATTGAAAGACTAGAAGCTGGGATTAGGTCTGTTTCTCCAGGAAAAGTCAAAGTTGGGAATAATTTAAAGTGAGTGCATAGAAACGTATTAAGGCTCATGCCTGTAATCCCAGCACTTTGGGAGGTTGAGGTGGGAGGATTGCTTGAGCCCAGGAGTTCAAGACAAGCCTGGGCAACATAGCAAGACCTAATTTCTACAAAAAAGAAAAAGAAGAAGAAAGAAACATTAAGTGTAGATGGAGATTAAAAAACAGTATGATGCAATGGCATTCCAGTTGCATGAGAAGCCAGGCCTAGTGTGTTGCCTGTGTGCACTTTTCTGTGTGTATCTGTGTTTTCACAGAAGCATCTGGAAACCCTGATGGTGGGTGTCTGTGGGTGGTGCTGTTACTGGCGGTGCTGCTTTGTTGTGCTTTTGTGTCAGTTTAGATTTTTCAGTAACAAAAATGGATTGCTTTTGAAATGAGAAGCACAGTAAGCGTCTTAGAATAAAATCATGTTCAAGGTGGGCTTGTTGTGGAGGTGCCGCCATCCCATTTGCTCTCATTCCCTGGTTGATGACTCGATGTCTTCCTACTTGTCTGCAGAGATGTGTGAGCCTCTCAGGGCACCTGGCCGGGTGGGTACTTCCCCATATTTCAGGAAATGACTGAGTCTGCTCCGGCCTCACTGCCTGCCTGCCTCCTTCCCTCAGGGTTGAGTAACTCGGGTTGGGCCCCCTGGACTAATGGATTTGGGCTTCCCACAGGCCAAGCTACGTGGTCCCCACCAGCCTGTCTCACGGGATCAAGTTGGTCAACCCAATGTTCCGAGGCTACGCCCAGCAGGTAAGCCTTCTGAGCTACCCAGGGACCCCGGGGCCATCACCCACAGGGACCCCTGGGGACCATCAGCCTCTAGGCCTGGCTTTGAAGCCAGAGCCAGTGAGGAAAACAGCAACAGCTGAGCGTTGCCAGGCAGGTCTCATGGACCAGCCTCTCGCTGCCCAGGCCCTTCACGAGTGAGGACAGTGGAGTCTCTCACAGCCTCTTTATGTTTAGCTCCAATTTACAGTCTTACTGTGTTGCCCAGGCTGGGATACAGAGGCTCAGGGGGCCAAGTCACCTGCCCAGGTCTCACAGCTGGTAAATGACTGAGGGAAATTTGAACTTGGGTGGCCTTGCTGAAGAGCCAGTGTGCCCCTGCTGCACTCCAAATGACACACAGATGCTTGTTCCTTAGACCAGGCAAAATGTCACTTTTGGGAGGGTGTTCAGGGTCTCACTCTGTCACTCAGACTGGGGTGCAGTGGCACAATAATAGCTCACTGCAGCCTTGACCTCCTGGGCTGAGCCAATCCTGCGGCCTCAGCCTCCCCAGTAGCTGGGACTATAGTGCGTGCCACCATGACCAGCTAATTTTTAAGATTTTTTTTGTAGAGACGAGGTCTTACTATGTTGCCCAGGCTGGTCTTGAACTTCTGGGCTCAAACATTCCTCTCACTTTGGCCTCCTAAAGTGCTAGGACTACAGGCATGAGCCACCATGTCTGTCCTTATCTATTTTTTTATAAATGAGATGGAGTCTCACTTTGTTGCCCAGACTGGAGTACAGTGGCATGATCATGGCTACTGCAGCCTTGACCTGCTGGGTTCAGGTGATCCTTCCACCTCAGCCTTCCAAACAGCTGGGACTGCAGGTATATGCCACCATGCTCGGCTAATTTTTTTGTTTTCTTTTTTTTTTTGAGTTGGAGTCTCACTCTGTCACCCAGACTGGAGTGCAGTGGCCACTCTCAGCCACCGCAGCCTTGATCTGCTGGGCTCCGGCGATCCTTCCGCCTCAACCTTCCGAGTAGCCGGAATTACAGGCATGCGCTACCACGCCCGGCTGATTTTTTTGATTTATTGTAGAGATGAGGTCTCGCTGCCCAGGCGGGTCTCGAACCCTCAGGCTCCCAAAGGCGCAGGATTACAGGCTGAGCCACCGAGCCCAGCTGGCCTCACTTTTATTGAAGTAAAAATTTTGATTAAAACTTTTTTTGAATTTAGAAAACCCCTTTGAAACCAGCTCTGTTCTGTTGTACAAAAGCATAGAAAAGACAAAGCATCCAGGTGCAGTGGCTCATACCGGTAGTCCCAGCACTTTGGGTGGTAGAGGTGAGGTGATTGCCAGAGCCCAGGGGTTTGAGACCAGTCTGGGCAACTTGGTGAGATCTCGTCGTCTATACAAAATTTTTTTTTTTTAATTGGCCAGGTGGCTGGGCCTGATGGCTCACACCTGTAATCCCAGCACTTTGGGAGGCTGAGGTGAGAAGATTGCCTGAGCCTGGGGGTTTGAGATCAGTCTGGGCAACTTGGCGAGACCTCGTCTCTACAATAAATAAAAAAGTATTCAGGTGTGGTGGCATGTGCCTATAGTCCCAGTTACTTGGGAGGCTGAGGAGGAAGGATTCCCTGAGCCCAGGAGTTTGAGGCTGTAGTGAGGTGTGGTCGTGCTGCTGCACCCCAGGCTGAGCACCAGTGAGACTCTGGCTCAAAAACATGACAAAACAAAAAAAAACAAAGCAGAGTGCAGTGATGGATACAACTGAACCCCAGCCGATGGGTTCTAGCGTCCAGATTCCTGCCACAGTCTGCTGCACAACTGGAACGGCCACCCTGGGCCTGCAGGCAGAGCTGGGCTGGCTGGGCTGCCTCTTCTGCTGCCTGACTTGAGGGCCACAGATGGAGTGGCAGTCATGCAGCGACGCCTTTGGCCTTCTTCTGCCCCCTCACCCAGCCTGCTGTCCTGTTCCAGGGTGTGGGCTACTGGCCTTAGCTTCTGCCCAGAAGCCCTGCATTGCCTGGAAACCCCTCTTTCTGGGGAGTAACCACATCCACAATGATCAAAATTCACTGTGCACTGTTTTTAAAGCTAGCATGACATGCCGTCTGGGCACAACCCTGGTTCACCCTCACAGAATCTTCACGTGGTTGGTATTGTTGTCACCTGTGTTACGGTAAGGCGCTCAGGTGACACAGCACATAGTGGCCGGGATGGGACTCAGGTCCAGCTGGGCCCGTTCCTCACCACAGCACCACCCTGATTTTCCAAGGCACCCTGCTGGCGCTCAGCCCTGGATGAGAGCACCTTGGAGCAGGGCCACGTGGCGGCTGCATGACGTCCAGCTGGCCTCCAGAAGGTGCATCCCTGTCTCTGGGTCTTGGACCTAATGCAGGGTATGTTGCTGAATCTGCACTGTAGATGGAGCTGTGGGCCTCTTTTAATGGCCAAAGGATGCTTTTGTGCTTCTGCCTGGGGGGGATTTTGGCAGGGAACACACAGTACTCTTGTTAGAAGGAAGAAACTGAAAGAGAAGTAGATGGCATATTGAAGGTCAGTTCCTAAAAGGGCCTTTCACCAGGCACAGTGGCTCATGCCTGCAGTCCCAGCACTTTGGGAGGCCGAGGCGAGAGGATTGTGTGAGCCCAGGAGTTCAAGCAATATAGCAAGACTTCATCTCTATGAAAAACAAAATAATTAGCTGGGCATGGTGACACACGCCTGCAGTCCCAGTTATTCAGGAGGCTGAGGCAGGAGGATCACCTGAGTCCAGGAGGTCGAGACTGTGGTGAGCCATGATCGTGCCATTGCTCTCCAGCCTGGGTGACAGAGTGAGCCTCACTCAAAAAGGAAAAAAAAGTCCTTTCAGTGTGCCTGCACAGGACATGTGTCGTCTCCCTGATGCAGCGTAAACTAAGTCATTCATCCCTCTAGTCTGGAGTCTGACACTTTGCCTCAGAAAATCCACTCTGAGCTCTCCCTTCCCTCTGCTGGAACCGAGAGAGCCAGGCTCCTCTCTCTAGACTCGTGACTCCAGGCTGGCTCTGGCGTGACCCACCTCCTTGAGGTCAGGACTTGGGCTGGGGGCTACCAGGGGCTACCAGGGGCTACCAAGTCCTCCTCCGTGGACCGGCACCACCTGAGAGCCCCCCAGTGCTGGGGTCGGCCACCATCACCACCCGAGGGCCTCCCCTAGTACGTCTCTTGTGCACTCAGACTGGGCTCAGTGAGGGCCTCTGCCTGGGCCGCTGCTGGACTGGTAGCCTAGTGAAAAGTGGCCAGAACAGAAGGTTGCTGCTGTGACTTGAAACCTGGCCAGCCTGCAGAGGCAGCTTAGTCTGAGCCATGCCCAGGCCACAGGAAGTGAGGGTACATGGGGGACTGTTACAGGGACGGACTGGGGCATCAGAGGAAGGGTGGAGCATGCAGGTGGCCTGGCCTGTGGGTGGCATCGCTTGGGCGGGACTTAGCGGATCCCTCCCTATCATGCTGTGTCTTCCTCCCTGGGCTGCCTGTTCCCCCCCAGCCTCTTCTCCAGGGTGCAAGTGACTTCAGGGCTGAATGGGGTACTCCTCCCTCCCCACGCCGAGCCCATAGCACATGCAGGTGATTCAGAGTTGGATGGGCCCAAGTGCACACCTGGCTCAGCAACTTCGCGGCTGCCTGACCTGGGCGAGTCCCCTCGCCTCTTGAGCCTCCGTGCCCTCCTCAGCAGGATGAGGCTAGAACAGACCGCCCTGGGAGGCCGCCGTGGGAGGTTGGGCAGCTCGTCCGCCGCATGAGGCACCCACGAGGACCCGCTGGACATGCCGGTGTCCTCGTCAGCGGTGGGGCGATCGATGCCAGTTCCTCCTGCCCTGGGAAAGCCCTGCTGACGCGGCCCCTGTTCCAGGACACCCAGGAGTTCCTGCGCTGCCTGATGGACCAGCTGCACGAGGAGCTCAAGGAGCCGGTGATGGCCGCGGTGGTGCTGGCGGAGGCTCGGGACTCGGATTCGAGTGACACGGATGAGAGGCGGGAGAGCGACCGGAGCCCATCAGAGGACGAGTTCCTGTCCTGTGACTCAAGCAGTGACCGCGGTGAGGGTGATGGGCAGGGACGTGGCGGCTCGCAGGCCGAGGCGGAGCTGCTGATCCCAGATGAGGTGGGTCGCGCCATCTCCGAGAAGGAGCGGATGAAGGGCCGCCGGTTCCCCTGGGGCCAGCAGCGCGCCAACTCGGAGCAGGCAGACGAGGACGCCGACGTCGACACCACCATGGCCGCCCTGGACGACCTGCCCTCAGGGGCTCAGCCGCCGTCGCCACGGTCCCCCAGCCCCTGCTGGACGCCAGGTACCAGCCAGCCGGGGCTGCTGGGAGAAAGCTCAGCCTCGTTGGTCTGATATCTGCCGTGTGCCAGGCATCCACAGGCAGTAGCCTGCCCTGGGGAGTGGGTTCTTCCACTGCAGGTGAGAGTCAGCCTTGGGGAGTCTAAATAGTCCTCTAGGTTCACTTGGCTGGCAAGATTGGAGCTGAGGCAGATCCCTGCCCTGAGTCCTAAGCCCCAAGCCCTTGGGTTTTTTTTTTTCGAGTCAGAGTCTCACACTGTCACCCAGGCTGGAGTGCAGTGGCACCATCAGGGCTCACCTCAGCCTCGATTTCCTGGGCTCAGGCAGTCCTCCTGCCTCAATCTCTCGAGGAGCTGGGACTACAGGTGTGTGCCACCACGCCCAGCTAATTTTTTGATTTTTTTGGTAGAAACAAGGTCTCACTATGTTCCCCAGACTAGTCTTGAACTCCTGGGCTCAAGCAATCCTTCCGCCTCAGCCACCCTAGGTGCTGGGATTGCAGGCGTGAGCCAACGCACCCAGCCTTCAGTTGGAAATGGAACAGACGAGTCTTGGGGCCAAGGGTGGGCACGGGATGGCAAAGACATTGGGTTCAGGCCTTCATGTCATTAGGAGGTGCTGGCAGGTGTAGGGGACCCTGCCCGGGCCCTGGCTGGTGTAGGGGACCCTGGCCCAGCTGATGTGGCCGCTCTGACCCAGCATGGCCACCTCTCTGCCCCCAGAGCCGGACAACGATGCTCACCTCCGCAGCGCCTCTCGCCCCTGCAGCCCCATCCACCACCATGAGGGCCATGCCAAGCTGTCCAGCAGCCCTCCCCGTGCGAGCCCTGTGAGGATGGGGTCATCATACGTGTTCAAGAAAGGTTCGCAGGGGTGGCAGGGAGGACAGGTCAACTTAGACTGAGTGGCACCCAGCCCTGGCTGCCATTTCTAGCATATGTTGCTGGGGCCAAGCAGTGTCTTCCTCACGCGGCATCTCTGAACACTTTGGCCCCAGGAACACGGTGGGGGGAGCCCCATTTTGCAGACCATGACACCAAGGCGCGAGGAGGTGAGCCGCACACCTAGTTGCACGACTCATTTTTTTTTTTATTTTTTAAAATTTTTTATTTTTTTGAGTTGGAGTCTCACTCGGTCGCCCGGACTGGAGTGCAGTGGCCGCTCCCGGCCACCGCAGCCTCGCCTGCTGGGCTCCGGTGATCCTTCCGCCTCAGCCTTCCGAGCAGCCGGAATTACAGGCATGTGCTACCACGCCCGGCTGATTTTTTGATTTATTGTAGAGATGAGGTCTCGCTGTCCAGGCGGGTCTCGAACCCGCGGGCTCAGGCAATCCACTCACCTCAGCCTCCCAAAGGTGCAGGATTACAGGCTGAACCACCAAGCCCGTCTCGCACAACTCATAAAGACTCCACCCCGGACCTGGCCAGAGAAGCCCCAGGCTGCCCCCTCCCCAGCCAGGTGGGGGGCGGCTGGGTCTAGTCCCACGCTGTGTCCCCAGCCCAGGTCCCGAGTGCCGGCAGCCGGAGGCGGAAGGAGCAGCACCACCGCAGCGTCATCTCAGACATCTTCAACGGCTCCATCCTCAGCCTCGTGCAGTGTCTCACCTGTGACCGGGTGGGCGTCCGGGGATGGGGGAGCTGGGCCGGGTTGCCAGTGGCCTCAGTGGCCCTCACTCTGGTTGGGACTGGGGGTGGGGCTCTCTGTCTGGTCCTCACTGCCTTTCTCCAGGGGGAGGCCCTGGTTGTAGGCCTCCATGTCCAGGGTCCAGGGAGCAGGCTTTCTGCCCTTCACCTGGGGCCTGGGACTGGGGTTCAGGGTGCAGACGCTGCCAGAGGGTGGCACCAGGCTGACCTCCACCTCCACAGGTGTCCACCACAGTAGAGACATTCCAGGACCTGTCGCTGCCCATTCCCGGCAAGGAGGACCTGGCCAAGCTCCACTCTGCCATCTACCAGAACGTGTCAGCCAAGCCGGGCGCCTGCGGGGACAGCTACGCCGCCCAGGGCTGGCTGGCCTTCATTGTGGAGTACATCCGACGGTGCGCCTGCCTTCCCACCAGCTGGGGGTGCAGCAGGCCCTGCCCTGGCTCTCCTGGGCGGGAGACAGACGGCACAGCAAAGTCCCAGCATTTGCAGGGACCTGAGCGATTCCCAGGGAGCTCGAGGCCCCAGGCTGCACGGGAGTGTGCTAGATTGGCTGGGGCGTTCCTCGGCCACCTCGCGGTAGCTGGGATTGGGTGATCCCTGGAGCTAGAGGACAGTGACAATGGGCAGTGGCCATGCAGCGGCTAGAAGGGAGGGCAGCAGTGGGACGCAGGCCTGGCCGGTGGAAAAGGCAGCCGCAGCTTCCCCGGGGCTGCCTCCCCTGCCTGGCCAGCGACCACCCAGCCAGAGGAGGGGGCAGCGTGATCCTGACCCATCACAGACGAAGAAGACCAGCCTTAGGGAGGGGGACGTTCCTCTGCCAAGGACACAGAGGTGTTTGGCTCCATACCTCTGCACCTGCCCGCCATGCCAGCATGGGCCTCCAGGGTCCTTCTGGGGCTCAAGCCTGAGTAGATTTCAGCTAGAGTCCCCCAGGTCCCGTTCAGCACATGGCACCCTTTTTCTCTCTCTGTAGGTTTGTGGTGTCCTGTACCCCCAGCTGGTTTTGGGGGCCCGTCGTCACCCTGGAAGACTGCCTCACCGCCTTCTTTGCTGCTGATGAGCTGAAGGGTGGGTGCCATGGCTGGTAGGGGTGGGATGCAGACCCCACGGGCCACACCACAGGCCTGTATGAAGCCCAGGGCTTGGGGAACTCGCCACTAGGGGTGGACGAGTAGTCTCATTCCTGCCACCCGCCAAGCTGGAACTGGGCTGCGTGTCCTTCCAACCCTCGCCTCACCTTTTTTCTAATTTGGTGGACAAAAAGTATGCCTTAATTTTACATTTCCTTGACTTTTAAAATATTATTTTAGTTGACGTTTCACTCCGTCACCCAGGCTGGAGTGCAGTGACACCATCATGGCTACCACAGCTTTGACCTGCTAGGCTCAGGCAATTCTTCCTCTTAAGCCCCTAAGTAGCTGGGACTTCAGGCACGTGCTAGGATGCTTGGCTAATTTTTTTATTTATTGTAGAGGCAAGGTCTCGCCAAGTTGCCCAGGCTGGTCTTGGAATCCCTGGGCTCAGGCGGTCCTCTCACTATAACCCCCCAAAGTGCTGGATTACAGGTATGAGCCACCGTGCCTGGCTGCATTTCCTTGTGCATTTTTTGTTAAGTTTATTGGCTGTTCGTATTTCTTTCTTTTTTTTTTTCTTTTTTCTTTTTGGTGGAGATGCTGGGGATATTTGTATTTCTTATTTTGAAATTTCCCATTTCTGTCCTTTTTGTATTTTTCTGTTGGCTACTTGGCATCTTAACCTTTGGACAAATCCTTTTTTCAAATTGTGGTAAAATACAAATAATGCAAAATTTACCACCATAACTATTTTTAATGTTATTTTTGGCATACAGTGTACAGTTCAGTGGCATTAAGTTCATTCACATTGTTGTAAAACCATCTCCTCATCCTCTCTAGAATGTTTTCATCTTGCAAAGCTGAAGCTGTGTGTTCACGAAAGCGCTCCCATTCTCCCTCTTGATTACTCTAGGGACCTCAGTTCAGTGAAATCACATGGTGCTTTTGCCTTTCTGGCTCCTTTTACTGAGCTCTGTGTCCTCAGTGTTCATCCACGCGGGAGCGTGTGTCAGAGATTCCTTCCTTTCTTGGACTAAGTAATATTCCGTTGTGTGGATGGACCCCCGTTTTCTCCTATCCATTCATCTGACAAGGGACACGTGGGTTGTTTCCGGTTTTTAGCTACTGTAGATAATGCTGCTACGAACACGGGTGTGCAAATACCTCTTCTTTTTCTTTTTTTTTTTTTTTTTTTGTGTTGGAGTCTCACTCGGTCGCCCAGACCGGAGTGCAGTGGCCACTCCCAGCCACCGCAGCCTCGCCTGCGGGTCTCCGGCGATCCTTCCGCCTCAGCCTTCAGAGAAGCCGGAATTACAGGCATGCGCTACCACGCCCGGCTGATTTTTTTGATTTATCGTAGAGATGAGGTCTCGCTGCCCAGGCGGGTCTCAAACCTGCGGGCTCAGGCAATCCACTCACCTCAGCCTCCCAAAGGCGCGGGATTACAGGCTGAGCCACCGAGCCCGGCTAGGTTTTATTTCTTAGGCATAAATCATCATGCTCACTTTTTCACGCCCTGTTTTCCATCCCTGCTAACCTCTGACCTTCTGTTTTCCTGCCCCAGGTGACAACATGTACAGCTGTGAGCGGTGCAAGAAGTAAGTGTGTGTCCCGGAGGCCTTTCTACTGTGGTCCTGTTTCCAGCATCTGTGCTCCACACACGTCCCCTGGGTCTCCCAGACAGTCCCATCCTGCCCTTCCGGAAGAGAGCTGGGGGGTGGGGGTGGCTGCTCCCTGACCCTTGCTCCCCGCCGACACTGGCTCTCACTCTTGTGCTTCTTCCCCAGGCTGCGGAATGGTGTGAAGTACTGCAAAGTCCGCCGGCTGCCCGAGGTGAGTGTGGTGGCCTCCTCAGCCCTATGGGCTCCTCCTCCGTCTTGCAGTAGGCCAGGGAGCTGGTGGTACTCAGGGGACGGGGACCCTCGTCACCTCTCAGGTGTTTCCGCACGAAAGAGGCCCACGGAGAGTCCGGTGCTTTGGTGGAGAGACCTGGGAAGGGCTGGCAGGAGCATGTTTTCCAGTTGGCAACCTGGTGCCCTCACTCCCTGTGGCGTCAGCTTGTTCCTTGTTCAGCACATTTGTGAGGAGGCTGACCTGGGGCTGCAGAGGCAGCGCCCCGAGTGAGGCCGGTCTGGCCCTGGGAGGGCGTGGCGGGAGGAGGGCTGGCCAGCCGACTGTCGGCGAAGGCCTTTCTGCAGAGGGGTGGCCGAGCGGGACCTGGGGAGTGGGCGGGTGTCAGCCCCATGGAGCGAGAGCCAGGAAGGAGCAGCTGGGCCACCCCGCACAGGAATGGGCACCCCCAGAGGCCCACATGGCTGGAGCAAGGGGGAGGGTCCCCCCGGGCTCGGGACAGCCATGGAGGAACCTTCTCGAAGTCGTGCTGGCAGAGCTGCTGGTCAGGTTCCTTGGACGGTGAACTTGCCAGGCCTGCCCTTCTCAGCAGCAGAGCCTTGAGGTGATCTGGCTGTAGGCCGAGCCCAGTCTGGCTCCTGCATGGACGCTTTGATTGTGCCAGCGGCATCCACGGGCACAGGGTCCACCTGCTGGCCTGGGCCTCTATGGGAGGCTTCAGCTGTGAGGGGTCGCGTTGTTTCCACCTGTTCGGCCCAGCGTGACCACATGCTTGTTCCCCCCAGATCCTGTGCATTCACCTGAAGCGCTTCCGGCACGAGGTGATGTACTCCTTCAAGATCAACAGCCACGTGTCCTTCCCGCTCGAGGGGCTCGACCTGCGCCCTTTCCTCGCCAAGGAGTGCACGTCCCAGATCACCACCTACGACCTCCTCTCGGTCATCTGCCACCATGGCACGGCAGGCAGTGAGTGGCACCCCGCCCCCGCCGCCCCCGCCCCCGGCCCCCGTGACCCGCCCACTCTCTCGTGCAGGTGGGCACTACATCGCCTACTGCCAGAATGTCATCAACGGGCAGTGGTACGAGTTTGACGACCAGTACGTCACCGAGGTCCATGAGACGGTGGTGCAGAACGTGGAGGGCTACGTGCTCTTCTACAGGTGGGCACCGTCATCGCCTCGCCCCCAGGACCCAGCCTCCTGTGGGAAGTTGGGTGCTGGCTCTTTCAGCCTCTGCTTGGGCATGTGGGACTTGGAGCCAGAGAGCCCTGTGTAGTCAGGCTGTGTCAGGAAGAGGGGCTGTGTGGGAGACTGGGCTATGCATGGGAGACCTAGGCGGGCTTCAAGCCTGCGGAATAAGGATTTGAGCTTTCCAGAGAGAGCACTTGGCTGCTGTGGGCAGCCCAGCGGGGCAGGTTTGTGCCTGTGGGGTCCCGGGTGGCTGCTGGGCGGGGGAGGCCCTTGGAGGGCTCGGGAGATGGCAAGCAGTGCTGGGGGTCCCGGGTACCCTGGCATGGGAGGCTCTGCACACCTGGCTCCGTGCGGCCAAGCACAGCTGCTCGCACCCCCAGGAAGAGCAGCGAGGAGGCGGTCCGGGAGCGGCAGCAGGTGGTGTCCCTGGCCGCCATGCGCGAGCCCAGCCTGCTGCGCTTCTACGTGTCCCGGGAGTGGCTCAACAAGTTCAACACCTTTGCGGAGCCGGGGCCCATCACCAACCAGGCTTTCCTCTGCGCCCACGGAGGTGAGGCACCTCCCCGTGGTGGGGGGTGGCGGCCGAGCCCCAGATCTCCCACCCTGTGGGGTCGGGGGCGGCAGCCGAGTCCCAGCTCTCCCCACCTGTGCCTTCCCCCAGGAATCCCCCCCAACAAATACCACTACATCGACGACCTCGTGGTCATCCTGCCCCAGAACGTCTGGGAGCACCTGTACAACAGGTGAGGAGCCGGGTGGCCAGCCCTCCGTGGTCCTGGCCGAGGCTCGGCCAGGTGGGGGAAGGGCAGGGGAGGAGGCCCCGGGCCCCATGGCCCCACGCTAACCTCCACGGCAGCACAGACACAGCCCCCGCCTTTGAGCCCAGCCTCGGTGGAAAAGTCGCCATCCTCTGGGGGACTCCTCTTGGATCCTTCCAGCCACGAGCGGCGGCAGAGCGAGCACCCATGGCGTGGAAGGGCCGGGGGAGCTGGCTGCAGGGCGAGGGTTGGGGGGGTGGCCGGCCTCTGTCCTCCACCCTGCGCCTGCCCGAGCGGCTTTGGGCTGGGGCTGCAGGACAGCGGCAGCGCCCGAGCCTGGGGCGTCAAGTCCACACACGTGGTTCTCCCGTGGCCATGCCAGCCCAGGCCTGGGTCTCCCTGCAGCCGGGGGCTGGGGCCGGCCGGAGCCAAGGCTGTGGGCACACAGACAGGAGGAGTGGCCGGGAAGTCGTCACTGCCCTGCAGCTTGCTGGCTGTGCCGCCTCCAGGTGCGAGTCAGGAGCAGACTCGGGTGCTTCTTGTCTTACCCACAGCCCTTGTGACACTGCCCTCAGGGTCCGGCAGGGCAGCTGTCAGCCAGCACAGCCCCTGCAGAGGGAGCTGGAGCACCGAGCTGCCCTTCGGCCTGGAAGCAGGGGCCCCACCGGCTCTGCGGTGCTCCCAGGCTGTGAGGGAGACAGGAGCACGCAGGCTGAGACAGGGCACTGCAGGGGCGGGGTGCAGGAGTGGGTGCTGCCAGCCCAGCCAAGGCCGCGCATCGCCCAGATGAACCCCAGCCCAGTCCGCTGCCCTGGCTCAGGCCATCTCTCCCCTCCGGCAGGTTCGGAGGCGGCCCCGCCGTCAACCACCTGTATGTGTGCTCCATCTGCCAGGTGGAGATCGAGGCGCTGGCCAAGCGCAGGAGGACGGAGATCGACACATTCATCAAGGTGCACGCACTGGGGGGGCCTGGGGTGCTGGGGGCCGGCTCCTTTAGCCTCCACTGGGCATGTGGGGACTCGGGGCCAGAGATCCCTGTTGGGAAGGAGTGCTGTGTGCGAGGCCAGACCGTCAGATACTTAAGAGGACTTCTGGCTTTATTAAGTCAAGGCCCATTGCTTGGTGTGTACTGAGCCACTGCTGAAAGAATAGGGAACAGGGTGTGTGTCTCCTGGTCCTAGCCTGGGCCTAGCCGGGTGCCGTGACTCATGCCTATAATCCTAATACTTTGGGAGGCAGAGGTGGGAGGACTGCTTGAGCCCACGAGTTTGAGACCAGCCTGGGCAACTTGGTGAGACCTTGTCTCTACAAGAAATCAAAAAATTAGCCGGGCGTGGTGGTACATGCCTGTAGTCCCAGCTACTTGGGAGACTGAGGCAGAAGGATCCCCTGAACCCAGCAAGTCGAAACTGATGTATTCCAGCCTGGGCAACAGAGTGAGACTCTGACTCAGAAAAACAAAACCGGCTGGGTGCAGTGGCTCACGCCTATAATCCCGGCACTTTGGGAGGCTGAGGTGAGAGGACTGTCTGAGGTCACAGGTTTGAGACCAGCCTGGGCAACTTAGCGAGACCTCTTTTCTATAATAAATCAAAAAACCGGGCCGGGCTCGGTGGCTCAGCCTGTAATCCCAGCACTTTGGGAGGCCGAGGTGAGTAGATTGCCTGAGCCGGTGGGTTCGAGACCCACCTGGGCAACTTGGTGAGACCTCATCTCTACAATAAATTAAAAAATTAGCCGGGTGTGGTAGCGCGCACCTGTAGTTCCAGCTACTCGGAAGGCTGAGGTGGAAGGATCGCCGGAGCCCAGCAGGTCGAGGCTGCGGTGGCCGGGAGCGGCCACTGCTCCAGTCTGGGCGACAGAGTGAGACTTCAACTCAAAAAAAATGAATAAATAAAATAAATAAATAAATCAAAAAACCAGTCAGGTGTGGTGGCACGTGCCTGTGATTCTAGCTACTTGGAAGGGTGAGGTGGAAGGGTCACCTGAGCCCAGCAGGTCGAGGCTGCGGTGACCATGTGCGTGCCATTATACTCCAGCTTGGGTGACAGAGTGAGATTCCAACTAAAAAGCAAGAAAACACAAACCTGGCCCTGTTATTTCAACCAAATAGTCCTTTATTGTGGAGCTGTCCTGTGTGTTGGGGGGCATCCCTGGCCTCAACCCGCTAGATGCTAGTGATGACCAAAACGACCTCCAGACACTGCAGAGTTCCCCTAGGTGAGGACCAGTGGGCTTACCAACTGAGTGGGAAGGGGCCTGAGATAGCTGGTAAGTGAAGGCTGGGTGGGGGCTCATGCCTGTAATCCCGGCCCCTTGGGAGGGTCTCTGGAGGCCAGGAGTTCAAGACCAGCCAGGGCAGCATAGTGAGACCCTGTCTGTACAAAAAATAAAAATATTAACCAGGCATGGTGGCATTCACTTAGAGTCCCATCTACTCTGGAGACTAAGGCGGGAGGATTGCTTAAACTCAGGAGGTCGAGGCTGTAGTGAGCTGTGATTGTGCCACTGCATTCCAGCCTGGGCAACAGAGCGAGACCCCGTCTCCCCCCAAAAATGTAGTAAGTGAAAAGCGAGTTATAAAATAGGGCCTGCAGCGGGCCCCGTTTGGAAGACAGACTTCTCCGCAGAAGCGCGTGTGAGGCGGGGCACCTGCGCAGGCCCCTCCCTGCCGCGCGGTGGACAGGGCCAGGGCTATGTGTCCTTTCCAGGGGAGGGCTGAGCGAAGCCTGCTGAGGGCTGCCTGTGTGTGGTGGCTGTTAGAAATGCCGCCCTCAGGGCAGACGTGGTGGCTCACTCCTGTCAGCCAGCAACTGGGAGGACTGCTTGAGCCCAGGCATCTGAGACCAGCCTAGGCAACGTAGTGAGGCCTCGTCTGTACAAGAAGATAGAAAAATTAGCCTGGTGTGGTTTCACGTGCCTGTAGTCCAAGCTACTCGAGAGGCTGAGGTGGGAGGTCTGCCTGAGCTGAGAAAGTCGAGGCCTGACTGTGCCCCTGCACTCTAGACTGGGCAATAGAGTGAGATCCCAACTCGAAAAGAAAAGAAATGATCCTGTCAGAAGAAGAGCTAATGGTTAATGATGTAAGCAAATAGACACGTCTCATTGAGTGGGGAAATAGCATCTACCGTCTCATCTCAGTTGGGTTAAAACATGGTTATTGAACAAGAGTTACCAGAATGTCACTGGCAATCCTCTCTGAGGGCTGGGAGTATCCAGGCTTCTGCCCTTTCTTCCTGAGCGTCTGGTGTTTTTGTGAGCGCCGGGAGGGTCGGGGTGTCCACCCTCCATGTGGGAGGTGCTGGTGGCTGACGGCCCTCTGTCCCCACCCGCCGGCCAGCTGAACAAAGCGTTCCAAGCCGAGGAGTCTCCCAGCGTCATCTACTGCGTCAGCATGCAGTGGTTCCGGGAGTGGGAGGCCTTCGTCAAAGGGAAGGACAACGGTGAGTCCGGGACGCTGGCGAGGGGCGGCGGGGATCCCCTCGGGGCGCCCAGGCCTGTGCCTGCTGGCAGGTGCCACTCCTCCAGAAGTGAGTGGAGAGCCTGGGTGCCCTTTCAGTCCCGAGCTGGGAATGCTGTCCCCACGCTGAATGGGGCTGCCCGGCACCCCGAGCCTCACAGGGAAGTGGCAGGAAGCTGCGCGTGGCCTGCCCCCGCCCGCCGCGTGCCAGCTGCTCCGCCCTCCCGGAAGGCCCTTGGCTGAGAGCTGTTGCCCTCACTCATGGAGTTCTGCTGATAGATGGCTTCCTGCTCTCGGAAGAGATTTGGACCCTGTCACCCGGTCCCTTGGACTTATGGAGGCAGAGACAGGCTGCATCGGAGGGAGCTCCCAGGGTGCCCAAGTTCAGCAAAGATCCGCAGAGCCAAGCGCGGATGCCTGTGGCCACCCTCAAGCCCACTCTCGGGCTCCCAGACCAGGGTTCAGGGCCGGCAGGGCGGCAGAACCCACAAGTCCCACACACGGGGCCTTTGCTCTTTCCAAGACCGCTGCCCCAGAGGGGCGGGCCCTTACTGCCATCCGTTGCCTGCCAGCAGGGACGATGCCAGGGATACTGGCCGAGGCGGTCAGTGTGACTGTGGTTGAGAACGTGGCTCTGGAGTCCCTGCCTGGCACAGATGCACCCGCCTTGCCCTGGGCAGGGTCTTCACCGGCCCAGGCCTTGGTTTCTGTCCCAGTAAAGTTCTCATGTCACGCAGTCGTTGAGGATTAAGGGAGACAGTGGGGCATGTGGAGAGTGGGCTCAGTGAGATGTGGGCGTCACCCACCCGCCACCAACCCCCGGAGTCCAAGCTATTGTGTGTCCTAGAAATTCCCTCTGCTGAGCCCAGAGGAGCCTTCGGCGGCCAAGCACCTCGCCCTGTTAGAGACCGTGTGGACCCCGAGGCCCAGGCAGCCTCTGCGGAGGGCGTGTGTAGGGGTCTCACCCAGGATGGCTCTGCGCTATGGAGGGTAGAGGGTGGAGGCCGCGGCAGCAGCTGATCCTGGAGAGGCCGGAGGCACTGAGCCCACCCGTGTCTGTTCCAGAGCCCCCTGGGCCCATCGACAACAGCAGGATTGCGCAGGTCAAAGGAAATGGCCACATTCAACTCAAGCAGAGTGAGTCGCCAGCTCTGGCCCCAGGCCCAGCTGGGCTCCCCCGCCCCCACCCCTGGTCTTAGAGTCAGGCTGACCTGGCACCCAGGTCCTCCGGCCTCCCTCACCCCATCTTCCCTGTTCGCCCACTGTGGGTCTCGCCGGCCCTGTCCTTATGTCACCGCCACCCCTTGGGGAGCGAGGGACACGGCATGTCCTCCGGGCCCTTGGCAGAACGATGTTTCCCTGGCAGATCCTAGTTTCCACCAGTCAGCTCTGCGTAGAAGCCCTGGGTTGCCCACCCCCGATTCAGGACTGGCCCTTTTTAGCCCCCCGCCCGGGACGGCGTCTCCCTCGAGGTGGCAAGGCCAGCCGAGCCATGCCCTAGTGCCTCCTGTGCCCCGCAGGCGCTGACTACGGGCAGATTTCCGAGGAGACCTGGACCTACCTGAACAACCTGTATGGGGGCGGGCCCGAGATCGCCGTCCGGCAGAGCGTGGTGCAGCCGCAGGACCCGGAGGGCTTCCATGGGGAGCGGAAGATCGAGGCTGAGACTCGGGCCGTGTGACTTGGTGGGCCAGTCTGTAAGTCACCTGACCAGGGCCCTCTGGCGCCTCTCGGGTCCTCCCTCTCCAGAGCTGCCCTGTGTCCCTCGGAGTGTCCCTTGGAGCGCCCGAGGGTCACTTCCCGGAGCCCACCTTCCATGGGGCTGAAGGGCCTTGTGTGGCCACGCCTGCTGAGTGCCCGTGCGCCACACAGGTGTGCCTGCGGGCCTGCATGTGCCCTGCTCCCCGCAGAGGGGGTGTCTGTGCCCAGGAAAGAGGCCGGTGCCAAAGCCCAGCGTGGAAAGAGGCAGAGATGCTGGCTTGGTTCGCAGTGACTGGTGCTGCCGCCAAGAAATATATTCACTTCAGACTTGTTTCAATGATAGGACTCCGTGATACTGGTGTGGGTCTTTGACCTGGCAGTGCCCATGCCAGGCACCGTCATCGTGTCCCCCACATGCCCTCTTGCCCAGCTCTGTCCCTGGAGTCCGATGCCGCCCCCTCCGAGGCTGTGGCCTGGGCCGGCATCTCCCCAGAACCCCAGAGGGGCTGGTCAGTGCTGCGAGTGGCGCAGCCAGAAGCTGTCACCCTACTTCCATCACCACCAGAGGGCCCCTGAAGCCCAGGCTGGCTGCGCTTTTGCAGGCTGGGGACTTTGGACAGTTTGGGCCGGGGGATGCCCGGAGGAGGGGTTGCAGTTTGGTCGCGAGGAGTGTTTTGGAGGCAGCGGGTCCAGGCTGCCTGTGATTAGCCTTGGGTTCCGTGGTTCATCCTCATGGAACATCGCCGAGCCCCCACCAGGGAACCGAGGACGGAGCAGAACCAAGGATTGCACAGAAACGCCTCTCGCTGCCTGCGTTGCGGCTGGCGCAGCTTCCCGGGGGCTGACGCTGCTGGAGGAGACGTGTTCCCTCCTCGCCCGGGCGTGCACTGGGGCAGCTCTCGCAAGGGGTCCTGGGTGTGACCTGTGGGTGCTGAGCACGTCGAGGCCGAGTCTCATTTCCGGGGGCCTCAGAGCCCCTGGATGCAGCGCTAGGGGGCGGCACTCACCTTGTCAAGGTCAGAGCGAGGCGGGGCCGGGACCAAGCCCTCGCGCTGCCGAGGCCTCCGTGGGCGAGCGTGTCGTGAGAGGCCGGCAGGCGGTTCCCACTGAGGCCTGAGCCTCGCTCCGGGCCCTGCTGGCCCCAAGGCCTGCTCCTTTGACGAGGCAGGCGTGTGTTGACCAGAACAGCCGCTGGTGGAATTTCTTGGCATCGGCCTGGGTCTCTCAAAGACCCTGCTGCCACCACACACAGCTCTGGCGCCTGCATATGGCAACATTTGTGACAGGGTCCACTGTGCAGGCTGCCACCTGGCCCATGTCTGCGTGGTCGAGTTTGTGTTCGGAACGTCCTAATAAACATAGACGTGTTCCCCATGGCCCACGCTGCTGTCTCGCGCACTGAAGTTCATTCTGTTACTGGGGGACGTGGGAGGCCGTGGGGGTGGCCCGTCTTCTGCCTCAGGCCCACGAAGCACTTTACAGATGGCCAGGCCCTGGAGGAGGCTTTGCGCAGGACTTTCCGAAACCAGAGACCACCTGGGGGTAGTAGAGGAGACCAACTGCTTTAAACACCAGCAGCAGCTCTTTCCCCTCCTGGAGTCAGCCAGGGCCACTTCTCAGAGGTGGCCAGTGGCTAAGGCCAGTGCCTCCCACAGACTGGCCCCTTGCCGGCCACCAAATAGGCAGCCACAGAGCAGCCGTGAGTGGGGGCTGCCTGCCCCCAGACCCTGGCTCTGGCAGGTGGTCCTTTCAGCTCCGGGGCTCCCTGACTCTCAGGGATACTGGTGTTTTATACTCGTGTTTTCCTTTTTTTTTGAGTTGGAGTCTCGCTCTGTCACCCAGACTGGAGTGCAGTGGCCGCTCCCTCTACCTCAGGCTTCCAAGTAGCTGGAACTACAGGCGCGCACTACCACGCTGGCTAATTTTTTTTTTTAT